CAGATGAGAAAGACAATGTGTCTCCGAGAATAATTTCTTTTACAACTCTAACAAGAATTACTGACCCAGAATAATTTTCTCTCAGTTACTGTGACTGCTTACAGAGTGTATAAGCATGAGCTATACTGATGCTCAAATGTAATTTTGCTGTGGCTACAACGGTCACAACAGACTCAGTAACCGCAATTTAAGTATTTTAGCCTAAATACAACTGAATAGTAGCTTTGCAGTTTCTGAAGGCCTATGAGACTACTCAAGAGTTGCTGCTAAATGCTATTTTGAAAAGTGTAGCTAGATGCTGATTTTTTGGTGTGATTAATGAAGTCAGCAGAATCTCAGGGTGCAACAGAAACAATAATACATTTAACTACAATCCTGAATTATACCTGTCTATAATCAAACGAAGACTTCATAATGATCACTGAGGTCCAGAGTCAGTAAAATATGAACTATCTGTTTCCTGAATGTACATGGCATTAAGAATACTTTTAACTTACTTGTGAATTGGACCTGAGAGATTACCATTGAGGAGTAAAACAAAGCTTGCAACATTCTCTATCAAGTAGGTGGTTGTATTTTTTCCTTTTACGTATTGCATTTTACATTAGCTTTTACTTACTACACAGTTTATTTTCACAGGTGTCCCCTTTTGCGCAATTACTGCATGATTTTCCTTCTATGTATGGTCTTCTTCGAAAATTACCACTACAAAGGAAAAAGTTTCATACATAATTTTAAATGATTTGTTAAAACTATCTTAAATAATTTGTTGAAGTAAATACACTGAAAGTACAATGAATTGCTGACAATTCGTTAAAAACATCAGAATAATTTTCCTTGTTTTCATTTTCATTGTTCTATCCCTGTGAAAGAAAAGAATCTTAAAAAGCTATTATTTTTCTTATGGGAAAATACTCAGGCTTTTTATTCAAATTTTACATTGGTATATGAACTACTAGACTAGGATAGTCTGAATGGAGCTTGGTTTTAATTGAGAAAAAGGGAGATTTTAGAGTGGTAAATTTTAAAACTGACACACTCCCCAGTAGCTTAAAACAAACTATTTGCAAAAAAAGGGAAATATTCTGAGCTACTTACTGTCGAATTTTTGAGAAACAAAACTTTCATTCCACAAAACGCAAATGTCCAAGAGTAAGTATACAGTCTTTGTGAAGACAGCAGGATCCTTATGTGCTTAAGTACTTCCCCCAAAGGGAGCCGAAGTGTTTAAGTATAAAGATCAGCCTGCACTACTTAACACTGCACGTTCTCAGAAAGGGTCCTTATACATCTAATTCCTGAAAATGACGATGCAGATACCATCATCCTGATAGCTATACTATACTACTAGGTAATGGGAAACACAGTATCCAGTCTATGCTGCATCCATTCAAGAAGATGAAGCAATGCTGTTTCACAGCCTAATCCTGGGAACACGGTGCCGAATTTAGTCCCCTGAAAGGACAGTGGACTATTAGTTAGCTCTGCTCATCACTCTACTCATCTCCACAGTGGGCACTGTGGACATTCCTCAAAGGAGATAATAAAAGGAGATAATATGCACCAAGACCTGTCATAATTTTTGCAGGATTCTAAGTCTGTATTTACACCCTGTATCATCTATATTTACAAACAAGACCTACACACCAGACATGCAGAAGTAAGGGTTGGTATAATGTTGTTGTACAAGATGGAGGGAGAAGAACACCCCAAAAGATTATCTCCAACTTACTTTGCTACTATTCTTCTTTGAAATGTCTTTTATATACATTCACCCACAGGTATACTGTTGACCTGAGTTTTATCCCAGTAGCATCTACAGTGGCATATTGAAACCACATGCCCTGACATGCAGTCCAGGCAGTAATAAAATTGAATGGGGATCTTCTGATCCCAAGAATTGAGCAGAAGTTTTGAACTTGTCAGAGAAGAGCAGGAGAGTTGTTAATAGCCTTAATAATAAGCCTTCCAGTACCTAAAGGAAATATAGGGAGGGACTCTTTATCAGATACTATAGACATAGAATGAGGGGTAATGGCTTTAACCTGAAAGAGGGTAGATTTAGATTAGATATTAGGAAGAGATTCTTTACTGTGAGGGTGGTGAGACACTGGAACAAGTTGCCCAGAGAAGCTGTGAATGCCCCATCCCTGGAAGTGTCCAAGGCCAGGCTGGATGGTGCTCTGAGCAACCTGGTCTAGAGGGAGGTGTCCCTTCCCATGGCAGTGGGGTTGGAACGAGATGATCTTTAAGATTCCTTCCAACTCTAACTATTCTGATTCTCTCTCTCTATGTATATATAAATATCTCAAAAATAAAAAGTTACAGGTTAAGTAACTTATCTTTTGGGTGACTGTCCATATATACATTCACAGCATGCGTGATTCCAAACAGTAGCCCACACAGTTATCTAAAAAAAAGTCTCAGAGTCCACAGTAAGAAAGACCGAAGGACAAAGCATTGCTTCTAGAAGCTCTGGCAAGAGCATAATGCCTCGTAACAGTGTGAAAGCAGACCCACTTGGTGACTGTGCATGTTTCAATCGCTTTTTTTTTAAAGAAGATACGTATGTTGCCTGAGCTTCAATTCAGCTAGTCTTTCTTGGTATCAAAAGCTTCCACTGTAAGTGATAATTACACTACTTCACATACTTCATAATCCATTGTGAAATTTTCTTTGAGAAGACTGATAGAACTCTCAGTCACAGATCCAGAGAGACTAAAGGCCTTGCCTTTTTCTCCAAGAAGCCCTATCTTGTCATTAAAAATAAGTAAATCTATCCATCTATCCGTCTATCTACAGATTGCTTAACACCTACCTTGTAGAGTGCTGCCTCATTGAGAAGGTGTAAGGAATGGGGAAAAAAGGCACAAATTAACTACTGGAGAGAGAAAAAAAGTCACTCTCACAAGAAACTTCTGAAGCAACAAGGTGGATTCTGAAGACTATGCTACTTAAATGAAATAAAATATCATATGGGCTTTAATTTCATTTGTCTTGCTGGTTTAGGCTGCAGAAACTAAAAGTCTGTCTCCATAAAAAGTGATATTATTGTGTTTTAAGTTTTGTTTTTTTAAGAGTAATAATTTAATTTAATTAATCATAACTACTGTTCCATTTGCTTCTGACAGCTAGTGAGTATTAAGCTGACGTGTTCTGTGGTGTTACAGGTGACTGCCTTTTCCCCCATATGTATAACTTTATATTTACTTCCGGTGATTTTCATTTACCACTTATAGTGACTAGCCACTGAGGTCCTCTAACACTGGATTGAAAAAGAAACTAAACTACCTTAATGAAATATTAATAATGAAAAATAACAATTAAAAAGAAAAGGTAATAATATTGATAAGGAAATAATGAAATATACACAATACATACAAAACCCAGTATATGACCTCCTGGGATGATGATCATTATCACCGGCAGGCACAGGGAAAGTCCCAGACTGGACTCAGTGATGGATGGGAACTGGATTCCAGATCTGGATTCAGGATCACACAGACTGGAATCAAAGGCAGAGAAACAGATAGAGTCCACCTTAGATGTGTCAGCCATTGAAGAGCGAGTGCTAAACCTTTGATCCCTCAGCTTTTATGCTGAGCATGATGCAGATGGGATGAAATACCCTGTTGGTCAGTTTTGGGTCACCTGTCCTGTCCACTCCTTGCCGCAGGTGGGACTCCTCTACATTCTTCTGCTCCTGACCCTCCAACGGGGTACATAAGAAAGTTAGCTGACCCTGGCTGATATAGCAATAAGTATAAGCAGGAGCCTCTCTGCATACCACGCCTTGATATTAACTATAAACATCAAGCCTTATCACTCTGGTAGCAGACACTTTCTGAAGAATATGCTGTTACTTTCAGAGTTGGAAGAAGCTTAACTGAAAAGTAAAATTACTGAAAAGAAAATTGGTTCTGTTTTACCTCAAACCAGGACAGTTCTCCACCTAGATTTTAGTAAAGCCTTCGACAGTGTTTCTCACAGCATTCTCCTGGAGAGACCAGATGCTTGTGCCTTGGACAGGTATACCCATCACTGGGTAAAAAACTGCCTAGATGGCCAGGCCCAAAGAGTTGTGGTGAATGGAGCTAAATCCAGTTGGCGGCTGGCCACAAGTGGTGTTCCACAGGGCTCAGTACCGGGGACTGTTCTCTTTAATACCTTTATTGATGACCTGGATGAAGGGATCAAGTGCACCCTCAGTAAGTTTGCAGATGACACCAAGCTGGGTGGGCATGTTGATCTGTTTGAGGGTAGGAAGGCTCTACAGAGGTCAGGCTGGACCGATGGGCCAAGGCCAATGGCATGAGGTTCAACAAGGCCAAGTGCCGGGTCCTGCACTTGGGCCACAAGAACACCATTCAGTGCTACAGGTTTGGGGAAGAGTGACTGGAAAGCTGCCTGGTGGAAAAGGACCTAGGGGTGTTTCGACAGCGAGTTGAGTATGAGCCAGCAGTGTGCCCACGTAGCCAAGAAGGCTGACAGCATCCTGGCTTGTATCAGAAATAGTGTTCCAGTACCTGGAGTGTGGTGATGACTAGTGGCAAGGTTAAGGTTTACCTATTTTCCCAGACAGTTTAGGAAGGGGAAAGGCTGCTAGAAGATGGTCTGTCTGCTCTAACTCCACTTGTTTGTGTGGTGATGTAGAGACCAGCATTCTTGGCATCAAGCAGTGGACAGAAGAACAAGGGCACGTTAGACTTCATCTTAAGACAGCTATTCAGTTTAGTCACCAATTCTCCAGGATGCACAGAACAGCACAGCGAACCAACATGCTATGTTGTTACAGATTAGAAAAGTGACAAGGCTTTACAGACTGCTGCTGATGTCAACTAGTCATTATTCTGCACTGGGAATTGGAAAAAATTTAGTTCAGATTTTAAACAGAAAACAACAACAAAGTTCCATACCCCAGCAAGTTTCCAAATAACAATTAAAGTACAAGTCCAGTTTTGGGATACAGGGAGAGAGATGGACAGGGCTCAATTAATTTTTTAGTTCAGACTAACTGACCTCCCCAGTAGTGGCCCAGGTTTGCTAGAAGAAAAAGAAAAAACAGTTTTCATGTAAGCTCACAAGCCATGTATGTTTTAAAAATGACAAACAGATTGTATATGCACATGCTTGATTATGGGCTACACATTATTAAGAGATAAAATACATTATTTTACAACTAGGTATATCTGTGTTTTCAAACTTCTCCTGCTTTAGGAACAGCACCAGATAGGGCCTGTGTTTTTTCAGAATATCAATTTAAATGTTGCCGTTACCTTTTTCTTGCATTGATCATTTACTGTTTTCTAATGCTTAAATAACATTTGGCATAATCACAGCTATTAAATAGACAATAAATGATAATGTAATTTTATTTTATTCGGTTACACCGAAAGGAAAAGTAATTGATCTAACACCTGTGCTATTATTTGTATCATTTCTAAGGAAAAAAAAAAAGCAAGATAATGTAAAAAGCTAAAGTACAATTAAAAAATGTATAAAACTCCAAGAAGTAATTCCAGCTCTGACAGCAGTTGCCTGCAGCAACTTTCTCATCTATTCTGTTTCACTGGAAAAAGAAATCAATGAAGTGGAGCATGAACCAAGTTTGGGATTTGTTTTCTTAAGATTGGCACAGAATGAGACTTATCAGTAAAGTTAGCAGATTAAAAAGCTGAGCAAGTACACATTATAATGCTTATGGTTTTCTTGATAACTGAATTAGACAACCATCATTTTCTCTGATTGCATTTACAAGACTAACAAGAAATAAAGAACCCAATTTACTTTCAGCTAAATGTCATTTCAATTGCTTTCATATTTTTTTAACATTTAAACCAGCAACCTACCCTGGTGAATAGTTGCAGATAAAATTTGCTGCGTTTCGTATTCCTGCAACTTCCTTACACAGAGTAACAGCACAGCCTATTTTATATGAATCATCCCAAACAACCTAAAAAAAAAAAAAGGTTTTAAAATAAATTAAAAACTACACTCAACAGTACCTTAGTCTAATATGTAGAAAGTTTCTGTTCTTTTCAGAGATCCTACATATTATTTTCATTTTGCAACTTCTGATCTTTTTACATGTTTAAAAAAATTCCTGGTAAGTGAGCTTTTAAAGATGAATTTCAAAATATTCACCCCTCAAAATGAAGTGACCTACGCTGTAAGTTTCCAGAATCTTCTACAGAACAATTTCAGTAAAAGTCAATGACTTTATGATCCAGGGGTAGATTCCATGGAACAAAAGGGAAATTAGTGGCAACTACCCAATAACTCCTTTAACTAATGTTAACATTCATAACTCAGATCTCCAAGAAGGGCTTTTCCTCTGTGCTAGAAGTAGTCTGGCTGATTACTACTGTAAACTTAAGTCTGAAAGCTTTAGCACTGCACATTTTCAGACTACTGAGTGTTATCTGCCATACTTAAGAGATGATTTACTATAATTTACAATTTGGGCAGCTGCTTTTTCTTGGGAGATTCTTCCTATACCTTCTGCATATGAGTAACCAAACTGTACTGAATTCAGGTAAAAATGTTTAACTATAGACCTAGACTACGTGGATGATCATACATTCTACTTCTGGAAAACTTAAAAGACATAGTGAATTACTCTCAGTATCTTACCGGTACAAAAAGTACAGGCCTCAGACTAAAAAACTGATTTTAACATCCCCCAAAGTATCTCTTCAATTACAACTGCAAGAAATGGTTATGTTCAACAGACATAACATTTGTTTGAAAAGAATCTTAATGTTTAACGTGGTCTTAACTGAATCCTGGTTTAAGGACTAAGCATTTGCTTGATTCTTTATGTAACAGCTTCACATATTTTTTTTTTTTAGATTTCCACCATTTTGAGATTTCTGTGTTGTCGTTCTCTTAGCAGGTCTACATAGCCTATCCATTTATGATTTGTAAATTTTACCCATTTTCAATTTTGTGTCTGAGCCTTCAAGACCACGATGGCTCCTGGATCATGCACGGTCTTTGATTATCAATTTTGATGACATATGTACTTTTACATGTTCCTTGGTGTTTAACTCATGTACTCCTCTTGTTTTTTCCAGTGATTAGTTTCCTTTGTAATTCTGCCTGAAATACTGCCTGAAATGCATGATGCATTGATATGACTTAACTATGTGCAAGAAGAAAGGAACAAGCAATATTAATCAGGCGATTAATTCACTTAGAAGTGAACAACACTCTGAGAGAAATGTGCAAAAACCTCCAGAATTCTATGTAGACAAGGCTGAAGAGCAAATTTAAAAATGGTAGGAACTACCTTGCTACATAACTTTTTGTCATTTATTGTGCCAGGGGAAAATGAAAAATGCTTTCCTAAGATATTGCCTAGTGCTAATCTTCTAAAGATTTATTGCCCGATAAACAGGACAACTTAAATCCTCCCGCCTTGCTTTTGAATTTGTTACAGGGGCAGGAAACAAGAATTAACACTTGAGGTGAAATACGTGAGAAAAGACATAAAAAGAGGTGCAAAAAGCCCCAAACAGAAAATGTTTTGTAAATAATTTTGGTAACTTTAAGTGTTTTCATTTCACAATCCAAATCCAGCTACCATTGTGTCTGGTAACAGTTTCACTGTAAGTGTACTCCACAGTATTTTCATCTGTAGTTCACACAAAAAAGCAGTCTAAGCATCTTTGAATACTGAAATAAGAAATTAGAGTCACTTTTACTAGGTAAGATCTACTTGACATTAATATTATTGTCTGCTTTAGATCAGTGAAATACTATGTGTTTGCTCATAGATTAAACTAATTCTACTGCAAAGCTTATTTTTTTAAACATGAGAATGAGTAAATCCATATAAAATATTGTGTTCAAAGATAAGCTTTACTTTCCCAGCAGAATTTTGTACCAGAATTACCACTAATAAATCAGAAATATGTCATAAATTGCCTCTTTTGCTGTTGATGCTCTTTTTTTCCCCTTCTTTTTTTTAAACAAGATTTGTAAAGAATACAATTTACTTTGGCTGGATCTTCCTCTTCTGTTAATGCTTCTACTAAAGAGTACCCACAGACATTCTCCATTTACTGTCATTTTTTCAAACTGCATCTCCAAACTTAGAGAATTTTGAACTGTGTGGCTTTGCAGCTAGAGAATTTGCAACGATTATTTTATAAAGTTCATGTAGTACTGATACAATGAAATAAGCAGTGAGGCTTTCAGTGAGGCCAATACTGTGGACAAGAAGAATGGATTATTACAGAAGACAAAGAGGTGAACCAGTGTAGGGCTAACCAGGAGTACAGCCATTGCTTGAGATTACAGAAGACAGTCAGCTGTCCACTACAAATCATATATAGAACTCTGTATTATTTACAGCCTCCTACTGATTCATCTGGTAGGCACTATACAGGACATTTTACCGAAGACAACTCTTACCTGAATGTAATGACCGCAAACCTTAGTACATTTCTGAACTGTGAAAGTATAGAATCTGACCTCATCATACCACGATTTGATGGCATCAGCAACATAGAATGCCTGATGACTTCCGACCTAAATATTCTCTCCAATAGATGTGAAATTAGGATGGCACTGATGTTTCTTACGTAAGTATACATTATGTTCAAAAATGCATTTATTTGCCCATGCCCTTGCAGTCCTTGCCAAAGCTGCATCCCAAGTCTGCAAAACATGAAAGGTGAAATAGTTGTGCAATGTTAAGTTACAATTGGATCTTAAACAACCAGATAAAACCAGCTGGGCAATACAGTACAGACAGATATCACATGCTGACTTTCACAAAGAAATACTTTACCTTATTTAGGCAAGTATCTGTGTTTTATTCTCATTGCCTTCTCCCCTTGCAGCACAAACTGATTTAATTAGATGAGTTTTTACCCCTTCACTGTTGAAAATTAACTTTGTAAAAGCACTTGCTAGCAACTGAAAAGATGTTTGAAATGCACTTTTATGTTCAGATAAGAAATTACTGTCACATTAATTAAACCTGAAACTTTTTTTGCATTTTTTTTTGTTGAACAGGATTTCTATCTGATACATACAAATGAATTCAAATTAGAAATGCACAGCTACTGTAGATGTAGGTGTATAAATCTTTTAAGTATTTTTAAGAGAGCATCCAGAAACAAATACTTACTTTTACTATGGTAAAGCACACTGTAGCATTTTACAGACAGCTTCATGAGGTAAACATACCAATGTCTGGCCAGTAAATCATTCTGCTACCTCTTACTTCTGTGCAGTCTGCTACTGTTAACAAAACTGCTGATTCCTGAACATGAACAATCTTTGGTATTTGTCTTCCAGTCATTACTTTTTCAGCAAGTTTCTTCTACCATTAAAGTACCTTATGTCTTATATAAAAGAACCTGTGTTTTTATTGCCTAGGTTCATTGGTGTTTGTATATTTCAGTTCACTCTCAGGCTCTATGTGGATCTCACAATAATTCCACTGGTTGCCAATACTGTTTTCTCCCTAAGGCCTTTAGTTTTTTCTAACCCTATTTCTCCATGCATACCTTTATTCATAACTTTTCCTGCTTTTCCTATTCCTGAGTACCAAAACCGAGTGTGGTGTCTTTCCCAAGCTTCTTCATTTCCAAGATTATACCACCTTATCTGCCATTCTGGCTTCAAAGCAACCTAAGCAAATGGCATTCTTTGCCATCAGTATCTGAGTACATGCCTGTTTCCAAGCCTTCCTCAGGGTACTCCACCTTTAGCTCCTCATTGCTCACATTTTCCTCTTGGGGTACAAAGTAAACTAAATATCAAACATCCAGTTTTTCTGCATCTCCTTCAGTTTTGTTTAAGCCCTTCCAGCAAAAATTTCTGACTGCATTGTTTTTTGGTTATGACAAACGAAGATTCTTCCCTGCCACCAGAAATCCCCTTCAGCCACTGTACCGCAGTTCATACCCCAGCTTTTGATGAGAGCCTAACTCTTCTGGATCCGTCCTGCTGCTGGACCATCATTTCTTCCACAGGAAAATTTTCTTAGGGTGAAATGTGACCACCTGCAGCCGGCATGTGTCACTGTATCCCCACCCTGCATGCCTGTTGTTTCTAGACTCACCTGTCTACAACCACCTCAGCTGACTACAGTATTTCATATCAAATAAACGCGATGACATCTGAGCACAGACAGTGACCGCATCCCGCCCACCTCACCCAGGGACCACCAAGAGACCCCCTGTCCCGCTGTCCCATCCCACCCCGGCGGGGCTCTGGAGCCACCCCTGCACCCCCAGGCCTGTCCCTACCATGTACCGCATGTTGCTGGCAGCCGGATGGACTTTGGTGCGGAGGTCATTGTGGACACACACGCAGTCCTCCACGAATGCCTTATCCGTGATGCTCGGTAGGGCAGGCGACTGCCAGGCCACAGCCCCGAGCACCGGCCACAAGGCCAGCACTGTTATAAGTTAGTCTCACAAAGTGAGGCGAGGAGACGGAGCCAATTAAATTTGAAGGATTTATTAGCAAGCGGCAGCAAGCAAAACAGCGTTGGGCGGCCCGGGAGTCTCACTCCGCCGACGGCGCGCACCTAGGTTACAAAAGTCTTTGGTTTTATACCCTTCTACTTCCGGTATAAGCGTTTCTCTTAGTGGTGTACTCTGCGTCTGTGCGGTTTGTTGCTAGGGGGTCGTCCTCTTTCTTCTTTTGCTTTTTGGTGGTCGCAGGGATGAAGGCTCCATGTCTTCCTGAGCCTCCCCCCTTCCCTTCCTCCCAAGTCTTATCACAATTTATGATGTTAGACTAACTCGA